CGGGAAAATGTCATGTGGTGATTACAGGGTCAGTAAATATGACTCTAGAGCCTTGGAAAATTAACGGACCGACCGTTGAAACGGGATGAGGCTCACAGACGAAGTGAGCGGGTGTGGATGGCCCATTACTGTGGACGGTCGAGGCGTTACATAGATATTCATCCTTATCTCCTAATTACATCCTTATATCTACCTTTATTATCTCAAAAGTTAACCGCCTGAAACATATATATCCGGTTTAACTCTTAATTCAAATATGAGTTTGATAATAACGATTTCAGCTTTGGATCAAACATTACACATAACAATAAGTTTGGATTCAGTATCTGAAAATCCGTTTACCATTTCCTAATATTTATTACGCAAATTATTCATATATCTGTTAACGACTCTCACTAATGTGCAATGACTAATTTTGTACATACCATCACGTAAAAAGCAAATAAAACATTAATTACGTCTATATAAAATAGAACATAATACGCAATTAATTATTCTACTAATGAAAAAAAAAACTACTAATGGCATTATATTACATGAACATGCTTCAGACAGCTGGAATTACTTGATCATACGTCAATTAAAAGATAAATGATTGACCTATATGGCGATATGGTCAAACTTTGTATATAAGCTTCGGCCATTAGTTAACAAACGTAAATTAAAGAGCAATTTAGGTGGAAACCTAAAGAAGATTGTGATATTAACGAAATGACAAAGACCAAAAACTTCATCCGATTTATCAGTAAAAGGGTAGGAAAAAAGATGTTATTACTATTGACGCTTCGGCACTCCTCTTTTGGTTTTTAGACTTCTAGAATTTTATCTTTAACACAAAATATTAACTATATATGGGAAAATATCAAAAAGATTTTGTTTACTTTGAAAATGAAATTTCCTTTAGATTTTTATCGCTCATTGTCATCCTCTTATTTCTTCATCTTCGTTACATAATTTTTTTCTCTAGAAATCTAAATATATATATATATATATATATATATATATATATATATGTTATATATATATATATGTTATATCATAATTCTATATTTACATAATCAAATCCAACTATCCATCGCTACATAATTCTAAACCTTACACCCCATTGGAAACCCAGAACCCAAACACTAATTATATAACCCTATAGACAAAATTCTATACCTAAAAATAACAGGATCCACAGAACCCTTACGATAATGAATAGACTAGAACGACAGTGTAAACTAGATAGCCCCATAAATAATTTGTTATACGGTTATATATCTTCGGAACCGGCTAACAATCACTGTTAACCTTCACAAAATTGTCAATAGTTTTGTTTTAGCCGGTTACTGATTTAGGGTACCAGCCACTATTGTAATTAGATGGCTAATTGGATTCTCTCATTCACCCGATATCGATGGTTAATGTTTGAAATTTTATTTAAGCCGGTTATTGATATAGGTGACCAGCCACTATTGTAATTAGACGGCCAATTGGGTTCTCTTCTTTCCCCGATATCGATGGATAATGTTTGAAATTTTGTTTTAGCCGGTTATTGATATAGGTGACCAGCCACTATTGTAACTAGATGGTTTTGATCAAGAATAACTTTCGAACAGAGTTTAGTTGCAACTGCAAATATGTGAGGGCGTTGAGAATTTTTGATTATCAATCTGGAGGCTACGAAACGTATCGTCCGCTTCTACACCATCAATTGAAGGCACATGTGAAACAAAGCACATGAAGAAAATCCACACTCCCAATTAAATCCAAAGATAGAGAGTTGGCAAGAGTACCTTAAAGATCAATCCAACTGAAAGACAAAGATTGTAGATTAGTAATACAAAACTTTCTTAGACAAATTTACTTAAGCAAATCAACTAAAATAGAAAGTCCCACCTCGAGAGTTATGTAATTTGATAACAATAATGAAGAAAAGATATGTTTTAAGCTCAAACCGAAGAACTATATTTGGTTAACAATACTCTCAACATCTTCAAAATAGGTGTAAACAAAAATCAGAACGGAGAAAGACGAAAAGATGCAGGGTTTAATTACATAAAAAATGTGTAGATTAATAGAGAGAGAGAAAAAATGATTTCTAATTTCAAATTGTTTGGAAATGTACTCGAAGAGGTAGGGGATAAAACTATGCTTGGTCTGACACTAAAGAAAGATATGAGTACAAGAAACAAAATTTTCCAAAATATTTTAACAAGATTTTGTTTATTTCAAATAGTAATGTTCATAGGAGATATATAGGAGTAGTAAAGTCACGATTAATTATGAATAATATCAGAATAGAAGGTTTAGGTATATCTCTATAATATTATTTGGGAAGTCAGTTTCCTACGTGTCGCGCTCATGTTAACTCTCGCGATGGTTGATTACATAGATACCCTTAATGAATTATTAGATTTTAAAATTATTATTTTTTATTTATTTTTTTTTACCTTTTTCCAAATAACATATATAATAAAAAGGAAATATTTCTAAAATTTTAAAACAAATTTGAAAACGAAAATATATGTATATAATAGGACTTTATTAAAAAAGGAAAGTTCACAAAATAGTAATACCCCCGTTAATATATATTTTAACTAAAATAAATATATTTTTTAAATAATAAAAATATATATATGTTCATGAACATGTAAAAATTTATCAGTTACACTTTATTTTCTAATATTTTTAGAAATCAACATATAATTTGATAAATATTATGAAAATACATGTATATTTAAGCGATAAATAAAACTAATTTGATTTGACTTAACTAAAATAAAGAGTAAATAAATATTATGAAAATACATGTATATTTAAGCGATAAATAAAACTAATTTGATATGACTTGACTAAAATAAAAAAGTAATTATACTTCAATTTTAATTTAAAAATATATTTAACTCAATATACTCACAAGATGAATGACTCAACTGATCTAATTTATATCCAAAATTAAACATCTTATAATTTTATAATAATAATATAATTAATTTTATACATATAAATTAGAGGTTGACTCAAAGCGTATTAAAAAAATATTAATCAATTATATGCATGAGACTTTAAAATATTATCATTATATTCATTTATGTAATTTTGAATCAAACACTTCAGCTTACTATTTATTTCATTTAAGCACAATATATATTAATTTATACATAATTTGACTATAATATATTTACATATCTAAAGACAATAACCAACCGAAATAAAAATAAGAAAATTAATCAAAGTTTTATTCTATTTAGGATTAAAATATTATAGCTGAATTTGAAAAATAGATATTATCCAATATACCGATAATAATATATCCAAAGTCATATGTATAATTAGAATAATGTAATATTTATTAATATAAATTATATATATAAATTGATTCAAAACTTAAACTAAAACTAAATATCAATCAGTGATTATAAAATTTTACTTTTATAAATATTCATACCCGTGCATGAGCACGGGAAAATCACCTAGTTGCCAATTATAGGATAGTTTTTTGGTTAGAGAGCTAATTTCTCTAAATTAAAAGCATACTCTCATATATGAAACTTTTACAAACGTGAAAGCTTACTTCCTATTTACTACATTTTAAAATAAAAGAAACTTGGATTAAAAAAGAAGCTTGATAAGCTTGACCCACGAGATTACAATTTTTTCTCATATCAGTTTCATTATTATATTTCTTTAGGTTACAAAACGTAGCGTGACGCAATAATCTGCAAATAATTATCTCCTCTGGCAGACTTTTAACGTTACAATACATTCATAAGATATCTTAAATCAATATCAGGGGCGGATCCACATACATGGTAAGGGGGTCAACTGACCCCAATAAAATATAGAATTTAAAAACTTTACAATATACATGTTAAAGAGTAACAGTTCGGTTGGCTGCGATCAGTGCCTTTGACCTCCCTTATCCTGGTTCAAATCCCTTGTTTGAACCCACATCTTCTCAATTTTGTTTATTTTTTTTCTTTCTAACTAAAATTTCAGCCTGGGCTTACAAAGTTCAAATAGTGATATAAGTCCACTTAAGGTTTTGGTCCAAATAAACAAAGCTGTAAATGGTAGCACCCTTTTCATAATTGCTTTATTTTAAAATATCTTTGCATCTTTGCTTTCATATTTTCTATAATTTTTCAAATAACTTGTTAAATAAAATTAAATGCCATTTAATTTATTCTTCTCCTATTTNTGGGCTTACAAAGTTCAAATAGTGATATAAGTCCACTTAAGGTTTTGGTCCAAATAAACAAAGCTGTAAATGGTAGCACCCTTTTCATAATTGCTTTATTTTAAAATATCTTTGCATCTTTGCTTTCATATTTTCTATAATTTTTCAAATAACTTGTTAAATAAAATTAAATGCCATTTAATTTATTCTTCTCCTATTTTTTTGTATTTTCTTGTTTAGTCTCAAGATTTTTATTTTATATTTTTGAAGATAACAACTAAATATAAATTTGATATAGTTTTCGAAATATATTTTACTAATTTAAAAAAAACTAAATATATTAAATAATATTAAATTTAAATATAATTACTATGACCCCGTTAAAAATATTTTCTGGCTCCGCCACTGATCAATATATGTATGAGTCACAAATGAGGGGTGAGGATAAGAGGAAAGAGACAATGTCGGTGGGGGACGAAGACGTCGAACCGCTCAGCCCGATGGCGCGTGTGTTTCAATCACCAGGCACCAGCTGCTGCATCATAACCTTGGTTGGTTGCGAAACCAAGATCAATGCTGAAGTCATTCTAAGTGGCTTGAACAATAATGTTTTCAAGCATCCTCGTTTCGCAAGCAAATTGGTAACAAATACTTGTCGTAATATATATAATGATTACAATGGATTCGAGTTTATAGCGTTTTCAATTTTCTCAGTCAGATGATGGCTTGAGTCTCAAGTCAACGTAGAAGACCATGTGTTTATAGTAGATATGGACCTGAATGAGATGGGCGAAAATGGAAAAAGTTATGTTGAAGAGTACGTTACACGTCTCATATGCTTCCTCTCGATAAATCAAAACCTTTATGGGATATTCACATCCTCAACGTCAAAACATCTGATGCGGAAGCGGTATGTGTGATAAGATCTCACGATTCATTAGGAGACGGAACATCCCTCATGTCTCTTTTAGTCGCATGTACTCATAGAACATCAAAGAGGAACACTGCTTCTACTACCCATGTTCTTAAACGGTGTAAAATGGTGCCGACCAACAGAACCTCGAGGTTCTTAAGGTCAGTACTAGAGGTTTTTTCATCAGTGAGACTGATTTGGAATACATTCGTAGATATTTTGTTGGCTTTGGCGATTGCTTTGTTCTTGAAGGATACAAAGACGCATCTAAAAGGAGATATGAGTGTTCAGAGTAATCCGAAGAAACTTTGTCACCGAGTTATCTCGTTGAATGACATTAGACTCATAAAAGAAGTTATGAACATGGTAAGATTTTGAATTGGTTTCTTGATATAGGAGCTAAGAGCAACTCCATTGAAGGGTTCTCTATGGAGTACTAGCAATTAAAGAAAAATCAAAAATTAAAAGAAAATAGGAAAGAGAAAAGAGAGGTCCTCACATTTGGAAGGGGTATTAAACTTTTCTTTCCACCTGTCCACTTCTAAGTAGCTCATGTATTAATTTTTATTTTAAATTTAATTAATTAAAGAAAATTAATTAAAATAATAATATTATTTAGCTAAGGATTCTTTTTTTAGACTCCCACCGATGTGGCTGGTCTAAGAGCAGCTCTTTCGGTAAAATATTTATAAATTATTTAACTAATATAATACTAATATTTTATTATAATTATTCTATAAAATTGAATAAAAATCAAACCCATTAAAAGTGCAACTGACAATTGAATATCTTAATAGGTTTTAAAAGTTTTTTTCATAGGGAACACTATTTTCACTTTCTAACCTCATTTTCTCATTTTAATAAAAACTTGTGCTCCTCCCCTCGTAGAAGAAGCTTTGATAAGTAACTATCTTTTAGGGTTTCTCTTTTTATTCTTCTTGTGTTTATTACTAGACTATCAACGATGTCTTGCTCGGAGTTACACAAGCTGCTCTTTCGCGCTATCTAAACAATTTTCCTGGTCGAATGCGAGTTACCGCATGTGTTTTAGTAAAGCATGTTTATCAACAAAACTCACTTAAAGGTTCTTAACCAATAATGGTGGGGCCTGTCGTGACCAGATCTTTTAATATAATCTCTCCACTTCTCCTTTTACCTATTTATGTATGACACATAGGCTAAGAGATGTGTCTTGCACCTCCTAATTAAGCTACGTTCTTGTGTGTTTCTTCTTTTGTTTTAATTTTTTAATCCTATTTAATCTAAGATATGCTGCTAAGAATCAGCTATAAACATGCTCTAGGCCAGAAATTGGAATTCATGTAAGAAACTTACACAACTAAATTGATTAACCATACGTTCACGTATAGAAAGAAGAAAAAAATTTGTGACACAAGGAAAATTCATGTATGTAGCGATTGGCAGATATGATGGCTAAGGACTCGAAATGCAGATGGGGAAACTACTTCGGCACTATCTATTTCCCATTATCTACAGGTCCAGAAACAGATCCACTGGTGTGTCTATCGAAGGCTAAATCAAATATGGATCGAAGAAAGAACTCACTTCTTGCTGCTTTGACATATTCTGTGGCGCTTTTCTGAAGCCCATGTCCAACTCTGTCCATAGTATGATATTGTCCGCTTTGGGCCCAAGAGGCAAAGCCCGCACGGATTTGTTTTTGGGTTCCTTCCCAAAAGGCCTCATACTAATCAGAGTTGGACACTACTTATATATTAGACACTTTCTGTCTAAACTTCCGATGTGGGACTTGGATTGTATCCCAACAATCTCCCCCTCAAACCAAGGACCACATAACTCCTTGGACTTCAACATCCTTGCGAAACCTGGTACCATCTTGTACCGCTGTACTCACCAACAGAACTCTTCACTTAACCCTTAAGAAGATTTCGACACAAGCCTCCGGCACCCCTTAATCGCAAAGTCACTTTGAGGAACTTTCTCCCACAATGAACATGCAGGCCCAACCCATTTTTCTAGGTCCACTTTTCCAACCTAGGCTCTGATACCACTGTGGCGCTTTTCTGAAGCCCATGTCCAACTCTGTCCATAGTATGATATTGTCCGCTTTGGGCCCAAGAGACAAAGCCCGCACGGATTTGTTTTTGGGTTTCTTCCCAAAAGGCCTCATACTAATCAGAGTTGGACATTACTTATATATTAGACACTTTCTGTCTAAACTTTCGATGTGGGACTTGGATTATATCCCAACAATCTCCCCCTCAAACCAAGGACCACATAACTCCTTGGACTTCAACCTCCTTGCGAAACCTGGTACCATCTTGTACCGCTGTAGTCACCAACAGAACTCTTCACTTAACCTTAAAGAAGATTTCGACACAAGCCTCCGGCACCCCTTAATCGCAAAGTCACTTTGAGGAACTTCCTCCCACAATGAACATGCAGGCCCAACCCACTTTTCTAGGTCCACTTTTTCCAACCTAGGCTCTGATACCACTGTGGCGCTTTTCTGAAGCCCAAGTCCAACTCTGTCCATAGTATGATATTGTCCGCTTTGGACCCAAGAGGCAAAGCCCGCACGGATTTGTTTTTGGGTTCCTTCCCAAAAGGCCTCGTACTAATCAGAGTTGGACATTACTTATATATTAGACACTTTCTGTCTAAACTTTCGATGTGGGACTTGGATTGTATCCCAACATATTCAAGTACAAAATTCGTCTTCAATATTTTTGTAGCAAAGGTATACGAGTTGAATTAAGTGATTTGGCTCAAAATTATTGTTAGGAATTGAAATATTAGTAGACCGACCGCTTGTTATTTGTAGGTAGGTGCAATTTTAGTCGAACGACTTTTTTCGAATACGACGACGGTCATTTCAAACATGATCGGCCCTATGGATGAAATCCACTTCTACGGCCACCCCATTGCCTACATTGCTCCAAGTGTCTATGGACACTCTCATGCAGTGGCGGAAGCAGAAAATATTTTTAACGGGGTCATAGTAATTATATTTAAATTTAATATTATTTAATATATTTAGGTTTTTTTTTAAATTAGTAAAATATATTTCGAAAACTATATCAAATTTATATTTAGTTGTTATCTTCAAAAATATAAAATAAAAATCTTGATACTAAACAAGAAAATACAAAAAAATAGGAGAAGAATAAATTAAATGGCATTTAATTTTATTTAACAAGTTATTTGAAAAATTATAGAAAATATGAAAGCAAAGATGCAAAGATATTTTAAAATAAAGCAATTATGAAAAGGGTGCTACCATTTACAGCTTTGTTTATTTGGACCAAAACCTTAAGTGGACTTATATCACTATTTGAACTTTGTAAGCCCANAAATAGGAGAAGAATAAATTAAATGGCATTTAATTTTATTTAACAAGTTATTTGAAAAATTATAGAAAATATGAAAGCAAAGATGCAAAGATATTTTAAAATAAAGCAATTATGAAAAGGGTGCTACCATTTACAGCTTTGTTTATTTGGACCAAAACCTTAAGTGGACTTATATCACTATTTGAACTTTGTAAGCCCACGCTGAAATTTTAGCTAGAAAGAAAAAAAATAAACAAAATTGAGAAGATGTGGGTTCAAACAAGGGATTTGAACCAGGATAAGGGGGGTCAAAGGCACTGATTGCAGCCAACCGAGTTGTTACTCTTTAACATGTATATTGTAAAGTTTTTAAATTCTATATTTTACTGGGGTCAGTTGACCCCCTTACCATGTATGTGGATCCGCCCCTGCTCTCATGTACGTAGAAAAGTAGCATAAAAGAGAAAATCTTATGCTCATTAATCTCATCTTCAACTTCGTGTTCCAATATACTAATATCTCTTTTATGTATATTATAGGCATTAACACTACATTTCCTAAGTTATGCGGAAAAAATGGTGATCTCGGTAGGGGTTGATTCTACAGCCATACCAAATCCTCACAAGCTTTGTGATGCAATAGAGGACTCTCTGAAGGCCATGAAAGCCGCTCTCTCACAAAGAGGTTTAATATATGGGATTCTCCAAAAAAAGCAAAATCAAAAAGAAAAAGAAAAAATGAGATGGAATTTTAATATGAACAAACTCATTAAACCCTATATATAAACACTTGAAAGTAATACACTGGTTCAGTTTTATTTAAACTTATTTTAAGTATACATGGATGGCGATCCAAAGTGTAGTTTCTAAGAGCATCCACAATGGTGGACTCCATTGTGGAGTCCTTAGGAAATATTTTTTTATTATTTTTTTATTGAATAGTTAAGAATTCCAAGCCGATAAATACGTGCAATGGTAGACTTCATTTAGGAGTCCTTAGGAAAATTTTGTTTTTGTTTAATATGAGAAATTTTAAATTTTATTAATTGCATGATTAAACATAAAGATATAATAATTAATTTTTTTCATCCCCAACTTTGTTCCAAATACTTTCGATCAAATCATTTTTCAATTGTTCATGTATACGCTTATCGCGAACATGATTTCGCATGCCAAGCACATTACCGAGATTTGTAGACATGCCGGTACTATAGGACATATCTACCTGTGAACTTCTACTTGCGTCTCCTTCTTCAACTTCAGATATATTGTACTGAGTGTATCCATCTCGTTCATTTTCGACGATCATATTGTGCAGTATGATACATGTTCTCATAATCCTCATAATCTTGTCCTTATCCCATGCAAGAGCCGGGTTTCTCTTCAAGCCTCTTGAACATCACCACCATAGCTATAAAAGCCATCGCACCGACAACCATTGGAATGGCATTTGTAATAACCCAGGATCTCTTCTTAGCTAACTCCCTCACTGTGGTCTCCACCTTAACAAGCATCTTCTCACTCTCATTGGCTTGATCCTTCACATGCCTTAGTTGTCTCTGGAAGTCACTCATCTCCTCCATAACGGCTATGTCCCACCACTTCCAAACATGGCAGTCACCATCGTCAATATTCTCGCAGGTGAAGTACCTTCTGCCTGGGTCTTTGCTGGTGTAAGCTGTGTCAGCAACAGGGACAGCACCACAGTAGCACGTCTTGGGGATTCCATCATCTGCATCGGGTTGAGGACTGTACTGAAATGCCTCTGGAATATTGGGACTACTCTCAGCTTCATCTGCGTACACATTGGCTTCTCCTTGGAGGAGGCAAGCTAGATCTATATCGTACTCTGAAGAAGAAGAAGGCTGGCTGTAGCTATATTGTCCCATGTTACCTGAAATAAGATCAACACAGACGTTAATACATAAGAGAGAATCAGAATAATGTGACACATTAAGTCAGAGATAAGGAAACATACACAAATTTGATCACATAGATAAGTCAAGACAACAACAGTTGATTCCCTATTCTCAACAACAATCACAGAGATAAGGAAATAAACTAATCTGACAACAGTATAAAGAATTAACGATTCCCTAAGCTCAATAGTTACAGACCACATTCACAAAATATGATTAACTTATCACGCAATAGCTGCGAATCTTCAATCAATCAGTAACTTCATTGGATAAAGACAGAGAGAAAAAGAAGAAGACGACCAAAGAGCTGATAAACCCTAATCACCTACTTCAAACGAAATCTACTGAAATCGATTCAAACCCAAAACCGTTTTGAAACCCAAACTACAGACTAAAGAATCTCCAAATCGATTGAAAGCCCTTTCCTTTCCAAACCCTAACTTCAAACGAAAGACTACCCTAATCGATACAAACCCAAAACCGTTTTGAAACCCAAACCACTGACTAAAAGCCCCAAATCGAGTGAAACCCCTATCGTTTCCAAACCCTAAATTTCCAAAATTGATTCTAAAAAAAATCCCAATCGTAAAAAGCGAGGAAAACAACATGAAAACGATTTGGAATCCATAAATAAACCAAACGAACAATCGATTTATCTTGTTGATCAGAGGTTAGCCTAATCACACCCTATTCGCCTTATCGCCTTCTCGCCGAGAGCTATTTTTTTCTCGTTTGATTTGCAAATGACACGAGCGTTCAGCAACATGGGAAACACATTCCTCCAGAGAGCGAATCAGAATGTGACACGTCAAGAAGGACTGAGTCCATTAACACTCTATTTACGGACCGATCCTTGCCAAACCCGCTCGGTTTAATGTTTTTTTATTCCGCTAAACCTATGGTTTCGCGCTAAGGATCCGGTACGAACCTCTGATGTGGCTGATCTAAGTACACTTCCATGCAAGGGCGAAGCTAGACAAAAAATTCAATGGGTGCATATCTGATACAAAATAAAATATATGCCATTTAAGAGCATCAAACTCGAGACACTATGGGTTCATAAGAGCACTATAACCATCTTCTCTATCTGGTTGTAATTACACACTGAACACATAAAATAAATAATATTATGGGTGCACGTGCCCCCATTGTTGATGCCTTGGTTTCGCCACTGCGTCCATGCAAATAATATGTAGCAAAAATGTGCATTAAAAAAAAAGTCTTTTTTTTCCCTTTCTTCATCTATCTTATTAAAGCAGAAACATTAGGTTGGACCTAACATTTATTTTGTAAGTTTTTAGTATTATTGTTTTGTTTTATATGTTACATATATTTTTTATCAAGAAATCTTTTTTGTTTTATACATTACGTATATCTAATTTTCTTTGCTTCAAAAAATACAGATATTCAGAAAACCGATATCCAAAATATGTGGATACTTATGAATAATTACGAATATCTCATATGCTTTGCTTAATACAAATAATTTAGAAAAAATGATACAAATTTTTCTTTAAAAATATTTTTACATGGTATATAAGATATAAAGTAAAAGCAGTAGTGAAAGTATATGTTTCATAACTTTCAAAGTTAGTTAGAAATAAAATACACAATTTAATAAAACGTAATAGTTGTCATAGAGATTTTTTTTATTTAATACTTCTATAAGTACTAATATGAATAGAATATGTTAACTCATATGTTTAAACATGTAAACATATAAACATGTAAATAATTGTTATATAAAATGTTTAAAACTCTATGTTTAATGTATATTACTTGTATTTATATATTTGATAGAGTGGAATGTATATCTGCAATTTAAAATTTAATATTAGAAATTTCATTTTTAACGGATATTGATTTTTAATATTTATTTTATTTTAAAAACTTACGGATCCAAGTTTTATGAGCAAATTAAAATGAATAACAAACTTACGGATCCATGTTTTATGAGCAAATTAAAATGAATAACAAACTGAATCAAATTTGACTGTAGAAAAATCCAATTGTATAATGTTTGAAATGGACATGCTAAAAACTAGGCCTAGACATTTCGGGTATCGATTCGGTTATGTTCGGGTATTTAGGTTATCGGGTAGTTCGGATAGATAGAAGATCCATTTACTACATGACATATTTTCCGTTCGGTTTGGTTTGGATAGATTCAGGTTCGTTTCAGTTTCGGATAGTAAAATTAGGAACTAGAAAGTACCCAAAAAAATCTGGTTTTCATTTTGTTCCGGTTCCGGTTCAGTTAGATCGGATAGTTATTGTTAAATATCAGGTATTTTGGGTAACAAAATGAATAGTTACGATAATTTGGATAAAATCTCTAATAATTTGGATTATTTTGGATATTTAGGATAAAATATATACTTTCGAATAATTGGGATACTTTATAATAATTTAGTTTATAAAAACTATTCTCGGATACTCTTAATAAATTTATAAATTATAAATATATATAAATGATATTATATATATATATATATAATTAATACTTGTATATATTCGGATACAAGTTTGATTTTCGGTTCAGTTATTTTGGATATAAAAATATAGGAATCATTCGGATATTTGAAGGTTTCTGTCCGATTCCAGTTTCGGATATTTCAATTCGTTTCCGGTTCGATTCTTTGGTTCCAGTT